CTGAAAACTGCTTCAAACCTCACTCTACAATGTGTTGTTCTTTCTGTTCTTCGGCTATGTGACTCTCTGTGTGTGTTGTTCTTTGACACATTATATAAAGTGAAAATTTCTTGGCTTAATTCATGTTTTGCTGAAAAAGAAGAATTTTAAACTTTTTGTTGCAACATCTCTTAAGTAGCTTCACAATAATCTTGTTGAGTTCCATGTTAGAAAGTGGGTTCATTCGAGATGGCCCGCTGACTATAAAAGGATATATATTGATCATCATGGGGACGATAATGAGCTAAGTTAGAAATGGTACATATGAATTGAAAACCTTTATTCTATCCTTATGGAAAATTCAACGACGCAACTTTCATGTTCTTTATGGCTGCCTTCGTTGAAGATTCATAACTCATGCCCCATATGGTTTTCTTTTTTGGGAATTATTGGTCTTTAGGCAGAGAAATGTTAGATTGTTTACTACCTCGAACACCAGAGATCATGGTAATTTGGCAATGTTCTTTTGTTGCTGGCTCGCTTTCTTACATACTTATTTCCAGCAGAATCTTGAACTTCACTGCTTTTTGGTAAACTCGCCTTTTATCTTATTGATAAGTTTAGGAATGTAGTTATTGAATACTAGAGTTATGAATTATGAAAGATTTTAAAAACATCATACTAATTCCACCTATAGAAATTGCTTCAAAATGTAATTATTTGTCCATGTATATTGTATTTAAAGTTTAAAGTATTTTCGAGTGAATTGAGTCTGATGTTAGGTACATAGGAGATCATTCTTGATCTTTTTTTACGAAGTTTCAAACATGAATTAACTATGGACTTTACTCTCTCCACATTTTACGAACATTTGGCCTAGGGGCTTTACTCCATCTTCTTTTTTTGGCATACTTGGTAGTTAACTTATCAAAGATATCAATCTATATTCTTTTCAAATGGATTCTGATCTTTAAAATTTATATTCTTGTCAGCAAATTTGGTGGCTCAGCTTGTATTGCTTTTACAAAATCATCTAGACTAATTCAGAATCATTGTAGTTTTAGAAATATATACATGAACAACTAAGTGTTCATTGATATTTGCTTTCTTTTCCTACTAGAATGGTTAACCTTTCGGTAAGAATTTTTAGGAAATGATGAGCAAACATAAAAGCATTCGCAATAATCTAGCGTGGTACAATCACTATCTACTTTTCACTTTCGTTTTTAAATCATTGACATTTGTGATTGGTCATTTGTATTTAGCTTGATAGTTTATTCCTTTTGTATCTATGGCTTAGTATTAGTTTAGTTGGAGGTTTGCAATTAGGACGAAGATTGATTTTGGATTGATTCTTCTTGTCTGAATGATATACTGTTAAGAGACTTGCTGCTGGTCACTATTTAGTAGCTGATGATATGTTGAATATGCTTGACAGATCGATTAGCTCCTTCTCTCTATGTATTTTACACATATTCTCTGTTTTCTATTACTATTTATGTCTATGTTATTAGTGATTTATGGTTATGTATTTGAAAATCTATATTTTGTTCCTTCAGACTTTCATAGAGTTAGTTGAATTGGTCAAAGAAACAAAGCAAGACTTGCTAATAAAATCACAATTCACAATATTAAAAAAAGTTGATTCAGGTTTTGTAGATTTCACTTGCCTCTTTCCTTTTACGTATCTATAATGGAGGCCATCTCTGTGGTTTACTTTCCTTTGCCGGAAGTGACCAAAAAAACATGTTTCCTTGAAGCTTTGTGCTTCATTTGGCTCGAACGCCTAAGAAATTCACTTTGCTCGATTAATGTGGGATTCTTTTGATATGTATAATTTCAGTGGGTCCGGGTTACAAATGAAGAGGAGTTGGTTTGAGTTTTTCCTGTACCAGTCGATTGTACTACAAGGAAGTGATACAGAAGTTGAGCTGTNTGATTNGTGAAGAGGAGTTCGANTTTNGANATNCACAAGCGNGGTTTGGGCTAGAAAAANGAAAGATATATTTACNTNGANGAAANNAGAATATATTTACTTAGAGGAAAGGAGAATATATTTGAAGAGAAAAATAAGGAAAGGATAACTAAAAAGAAGGAAAGTTTCTTTAGAGTTTTGAGATGTGCTCTATAGGTATATATAGAGCGAGGCTCGTGGCTGGAGTTCTCTGATGACTCTTTGAAGAAAAATTACAGAGAGATTGATTGAGAGAAGGCGTCCTCTTTGTTGTGTGTGTT